TATATCAATTAAAACAAAAATATAATTTTGAATTATTTAAATCTATTTTATTATATTTTAATATAAATAAAGGTATATCTATTAATAAAGATAAGTATATACAATTAACTATATCTTATATTAAAAATATACAAAATATTATAATATTCTTTAATAGTTATAAATTATTAGGTTATAAATTATTACAATATAATATTTGATTATCAAATATTAATAAAAATAAAAGATATATAAATATTAATATAAATAAGTAAAATCAAAATACAAACATATAAGCGGCCATATACTGTAAAGTATATAGGAAAAATAAGGTGAATTTCATAGAAATCCTTATATTAAGGACAATATGAAGCGAAGTATATTCTATATGAATAATATATATATATATATATATTATAAGGAATATAAACGTTCAACGACTAGTTAATGAGTACATATAACAATATTTAACCACGAGCGCCTTATATCCATATTGTTTAATATGGATAATGACATAGTCTAATCTTATAAGTAATTATAAGTAAATATATTTAAATAATATATAAAATGGTGAAAAATAATTTATGTTATATGAGGAGGTTTCTCAGTAAGTAATCCAACAATACAAAGATTCTTTGCTTTACATTACTTATTACCATTTATCTTAGCTGCTTTAGTAGTTATGCATTTTATGGCTTTACATATACATGGTTCATCTAACCCTGTAGGTATATCTGGTAATGTTGATAGAATACCAATGCATTCATATTATATATTTAAAGATTTAATTACAGTATTTATATTCTTATTTGCATTTAGTTTATTTGTGTTCTTTTCACCTAATACTATGGGTCACCCTGATAACTATATACCTGGTAACCCTATGGTTACACCTGCTTCAATTGTACCTGAATGATATTTATTACCTTTCTATGCTATATTAAGATCTATACCTGATAAATTAGGTGGAGTTGTAGCTATGTTTGGAGCTTTATTAATATTATTAGTTTTACCTGTTACTGATAGATCTATTATTAGAGGTAATACTTTTAAAATATTATCTAAATTATCATTCTTTATGTTTATAGGTAATTTCTTCTTATTATTACACTTAGGTGAATTACATGTTGAAGTTCCTTTCATACAATTAGGTCAATTTGCTACTGCTTATTACTTCTCTTACTTTATTATCTTAGTTCCTGTTATATCATCTTTAGAAAATATATTATTCTATATAGGTAATAAATAAATATTAAGTTTTAATAAGGTTTAATCTTTATATTTATTCATATATTAAATATATAGCCAGCGCGAATGCGCTGGCTATTTCCTCCTTTTTTTTAAATACAATTTAGATTTTTATAATCTTCTTATAGGTAAGCGGTTATGATGAAATGGTAGACATAGGACACTTAAGATGTCCGGGCTTAGACCGTGTAGGTTCGACTCCTGCTAACCGTAATATATATATATAATAATAATGGCCAGCGTGTATACGCTGGCTTTTATCCCTTTCTTATAATGCTTGGGAGAGGTTATATATATTAATGGGGAGGTTCTAATGTTGGTAATTAGACCTAAATTGTAGCTTTAGTGCCGTAGTGCTGCGACTGTTCGATTCAGTCCCTCCTCAAGGTAGCTATAGTTCAAAGGTAGAACACTCGTATGTGGCGCGATATATCTGAGTTCAAGTCTCAGTAGTTATCCTTTAGCTTAGGTAGTTCAATGGTTAGAACAGATGCCTCATATGCATCTAATGTAGGTTCAATTCCTGCCTTAGGCATATAAATATTATTAATATTGCCGTATAAGCTAACCAGGCATAGCGTCCGTTTTGTAATCGGAAGGTGTGGGGTTCGATTCCTCAATACGGCAAATTTTATTATAGACCATATGATCTAATGGTATGATACTACTACTTCACAGTATATATATGGGTTCGATTCCCGTTATGGTTATATATTTTATTATTCTTTTTATATTTTTATAAGAGAATATAATTATATATATATATATATATATTATAGTGACAATAGGTTAACTGGTAAACCCTGGCACTTCCAATGCTACTTTGCGTGTTCGATCCACGCTTGTC